TATCTCACACAGAATTAGAGAAAACAATCCTAAAATTCATTTGGAACCAGAAAGGACCTAGAATAGAAACAGCAATTCTGGGCAACAAAGGCAAGGCAGGGGGCATCACAATCCCTGACTTGAAATTATACTACAAAGCTACCATGATAAAAACAGCATGGTACTGCCCAAAATAAAACAAAACAGATCCAAAAGTCAATGGAATAGATTAGAAGAGGCAGAAAAAACTTCAAACACACTCATCACCACATCTTTAACAAAGGGGCCAAATACCTTCACTGGAAGAAAGATAGTCTCTTTAATAAATGGTGCTAGAAAAACTGGCTTTTCACATGTGAAAGATTAAAACTAGACCGTTATCTTTCACCATGCATTAAAAATTCAAAATGGCTCAAAGATCTAAATATTAAAATACACTAAATCTGTTGCAAGATAGAAGAGGTAGAACTCTTCAAGACATAAGTGTAGGCAAAACTTTATGAACAAAACCTCACATGTACCGGGTTTGATTGTGTAAACCTGTAATCCCAGCACTTTGGAGGCTGAGGCAGGATGATCTAGATGAGTTCGAGGCCATCCTAAACTGCATGGTGAGACAGTCTCAAAAATAAAATAAAATAACAAAACTCTGATTGCACATGAAATATCATAAAGAATCAACAGCTGGGATCTCATTAAGAAGCTTTTGTACAGCAATGAAACCACCAATAGAGTGAAGAGACAACCGTAGAGTGGGAAAAATTGCCAGCTGTTCCTCAGACACAGGACTAATATCTAGAATATATAAAGAACTCAAAAAAGACCCAGTCCAAAATTGGGCATCTTAAATAAATAGACACATCTCAGATGAAGAAGTAGAAATGGCAAATAAATACATGAAAAAATGTTCAACATCACTGGTCATTCAAGGGATGCAAATTAAAACAATGCTAAGAATCCATCTCACTCCAGAAAGAATGGCTATCATTAAGAAATCAACCAATAACAGATGCTGGTGGGACTCTGGGGAAAAAGGAACTCTTCTCCACTGTTGGTGGGAGTGTAGACTGGTGCCACTGCTGTGGAAATCACTGTGACGATTCCTCAAAAAACTAAAATTAGAGGTTCCACTTGACTGAGCTATTCCCCTTCTTGGTATATTCCCCCCAAAATTAAAAGCATCATGCCAGAGCGATATGTGTACACCCATGTTTATAGTGGCACAGTTTCTAATAGCTAAATCTTGGAAATAGTGCAAACGCCCATTAACCAGTGAATGGATAAAGATGTGGGTTTTTTATACAATGGAGTACTACTCTCCCATAAAGGAGGATAAGCGAGGTAATTTCTAGGTAATTGGATGCATACTTGAGACCACACTCTTAAGTGAAATAAATCAAGCACACATTTTAAAATACTGCATTGTTTCTCTGGTGTGAGAAACCAAAAGTGTAAATAAGGACCAAAATGTGTAATATGTATTGGGCAATGGGAAGAAAACATTCAAATAGGAAAGGGAACAAGGAAGGTGGGAGGGGGGTAAGGAAAGAGGGACAAGAAAAAAAGAGAGCTGAATGTGAGGGTGTAGGCCTGTAATCCCAGCACTCAGAAGGCTGAGGCAGGAGGATTGCTGAGAGTTTGAGGCCAGGCTGGACTACACAGTGAGGCCGTGTCTCAAAAAACAAACAAAACAAACAAACAAACAAAAAAAAAAACAAAAAAAAAAAAA